CTGCTCATATGAGCAATGTAATCACCTGTTTAAATTAGTCTGATCATGGCAGTCTGATAAATACACAGTTTCTATGTTGAGTTTTTTTTTTCTTCACTCTGAATACCGTCTCTTAAATTTCTGTGGTCAGCATGTTACTGATACATTTAATTCACAAAAAATGCTAAAAAATTATACTGACCTTGACATTCAGATTAAATCTTTTACTATATGAATTTATTTCTCCAGGAGCATTGCTTTGATGTACTGCCACACTAAGCTCACCCAGAAGAATTTTTCTTCTCCAATATTTCTGAGTTGATGCTATCCCAGTATTCCTCAACATCAGTAGTATCCAAGTGAGGCAGTGAAAGGGAACAAGTAGAAAGTGTTGATAAAATGCAGTCAGTCCTTGCTGCAGATTTGTGCTGCCCCAGTGAACTGTGCATCTTGACTGCTTGTCAACATTAGATTGTGCTATGGTCACATTCCATTAGCTACCTGGTTTGTAGTATAGCCTATTTGAATTAGTACTACAGTTCCTCAAGCCTGCGAAGTAAAAATGGGAAAAGAGTAGTTTGGTTCAATTTCTCAAAAATAAAATAGGATCAAGGATCTTTCAGCTGTATTTAAAAATAAAGGCACAGGCCGGCGCCTCAGCTCACTAGGCTAATCCTCCGCCTGCGGTGCAGGCACCCCGGGTTCTAGTCCAGGTTGGGGCACCGGATTCTGTCCCGGTTGCTCCTCTTCCAGTCCAGCTCTCTGCTGTGGCCCGGGAATGCAGTGGAGGATGGCCCAAGTGCTCAGATCCCTGCACCCACATGGGAGACCAGGAGGAAGCACCTGGCTCCTGGCTTCGGATCACTGTAGTGCGCCGGCTGTAATGTCCATTTGGGGGGTGAACCAACAGAAGGAAGACCTTTCTCTCTGTCTCTCTCTCTAACTCTGCCTGTCAAAAAAATAAATAAATAAAAATAAAAGCACAGATCATCTGTAGTGGTTTTACTCCACTGGCAATGGTATTGTACACATTGCTGTTGGATTTAATCTAAATATCACCTATTCACACAAACAGAAATAAAAGCATACAGAAACAAATACACTTTGCAGGCCATCATATGAAGACAATGTAACTCAAACCACTGCTAATTATATGTATTTTCAAGGATTGCTCTTACCCCAAAACATTACCCACAACGGAGAATATGTGTGTTGAACTGAACTAACAAATGCAAGGAGGACGATGGAGCAAAAAGAGACGTGGTTAGGAAAAGTAATTCTCCATTCGGAAAATAAACATGAGGATGTACAGCCCTGAGTCCTGGAAGGTGTGGCCCTGGGCACAGAGCACACAGCACAGGAGCACACATCCTGAGAGAATCCTGCAAGGGCAATCAGGCACTTGCTCCTGAAAGGAGCTCTCCAGGTCTCCACAGGTAACTGCCTACTCCTCAGTCCATCTACTGCAGCAGGCAGGATGTCACACTGGCTGCTCCCACCGAGAAAGGAACCACGTCCAGCCAATCCGGGCAAGAGCAGCTCAACACAGACCACCACACTGCCCCCTAGAGAAACATTCCACATAGTCTATTCAATTCAGCTGAAATCACAAAGTCACAAATGCCTCTTAACAAAGGTAGGGTCAAGGGCAGGCTTTTCTCATTTGCATTTCATAATCCTGAGAATACTCATTGGCTGTGGATTAGAAAAGAAATGCCAATCTGCATGTTAAGCCACCCAAAACAGGAACTGAGCAACCTCAGTAAAATTTTACTTTTGGAACAGATCAATCAAAATCTACAAATATTAGTGCCAATAGCTCTCCTCAAACTGCCCTCTGAATTCAGCTTATCCCTTTGGCTTTTTAAAATTATTTTAAAGATTTATTTTCTTTATTTATTTGAGGGTAGAGTTACAGACAGTAAGAAAAAGAGACAGAGAGAAAGGTCTTCCCGGCCGGCGCTGCAGCTGAATAGGCTAATCCTCTGCTTGCAGCACTGGCACACTGGGTTCTAGTCCCGGTCGGGGCGCCGGATTCTGTCCCGGTTGCTCCTCTTCCAGGCCAGCTCTCTGCTGTGGCCGGGAGTTCAGTGGAGGATGGCCCAAGCGCTTGGGCCCTGCACCCACATGGGAGACCAGGAGGAAGCACCTGGCTCCTGGCTTCGGATTGGCGCAGCACGCTGGCTGTAGCGGCCATCTGGTGGGGTGAACCAACAGAAGGAAGACCTTTCTCTCTGTCTCTCTCTCTCTCTCACTGTCTAACTCTGCCTGTCAAAAAAAAAAGAACAAGAACAAGAACAAGAACAAGAACAACGAAGGAAGGAAGGAAGGAAGGAAGGAAGGAAGGAAGGAAGGAAGGAAGGAAGGAAGGAAGGAAGGAAGGAAGGAAGGTCTTCCATCCACTGGCTCACTTCCCAAATGGCTGCAATGGCCAGAACTGAGCCGATCCGAAGTCAGGAACTTCTGGGTCTTCCATGCTGGTGCAGAGGCACTTAGGCCATCTTCCACTGCTTTCCCAGGCCATAGCACAGAGCTGGATCGGAAGAGGAGCAACTGGGACCAGAACCGGCACCCATATGAGATGCCGGCGCCACAGGTGGAGGATTAACCTACTGCACCACAGCACTGGCCCCTTGGTTTTTTTTTTAAACCAATGCATCCATTCACTCAATGATTTTTTGAGACTTACTCTATACTCACAGTGCTATGCTAAGAGCTAGAGTCCAGCTAGAAGACACACCTGCCAACAACAGTTAGTGTAGTGGTGGTAGAATGCTAATGGAAAGCTGTCACGGAAACAGGGACAGGTGCCCATGTCAACTAGGGCACTTCCTGGGGGAGCTAGAATTTGAGCCAACACAAGAGTATTAGGGAGGAATTATCCCAAGCACCAAGGGCCACTCCAGATGATGCAACAGCACACCAAGGGTTTGATGGAATAACACATTAGTAGGGATTAGGAGAGTTACCTGTTGGGACATTAAGAACAAAAAGTTGGGGTAAAGTAATCAGAGATAAGGCTGGAAAATGAAGGGATTGTTTACCTCCCAAAGGAGTTTTGACTTTATCCTGCAGTGTTTCTCAAAGCAGAGTTTACAAGATTCCCATAAAAACTTCTCATGGTTCCTGTTTGGTTTCAATGATGATTTTATTGTTAATAACAATAATGGGAGGATGCCTAATGGAAACACACTCCAGATCATCTGGATGACCATGTGCCATACAGTTTCAGTGCCCCCTCTCTGTTTACCGTTAGGATGGCACCAAGCCAGCAGAGCAGTAATGGTTGGAGATGAGAGGAGATGCTGTTGGACTGACGAAAGGGATCTCATTAGCTAAAGAGGAGTCACATGGGAGAACTGGGCTACCACCTGGCACATGGTGGCAGGAACGTCAGACTCAAAGCAACACAGGCCTTCTTGCTCGGAAATATCACCACGCTGCAAGGAACAACTGAGATGCGCAAAATAATAGCATTGGTCTCTAAAAGCTGCTTACTTGGCTCTGTAGTGTTTTATAATACAGGGTACTTTGACTAGTTCATGGAAAAGTAAAATTTAAATATAAGTTTATTTGGGTGGGAAAACATTCAAAATCATGCATAATTTTTTCATAGTATGTTTTTTTCATAGACTTTATGAAGACCCTTCATATGCATGGATTTCAAAAAATATTGCACCAAAATAAACTTATTTTTTAATTCCATTTCCTACAACATCTTTGATGTACCCTCATTCTTTTTTTGATATAACAGTTCTATACATGCAAATGACAAATTTATATCTAGTTTTGTGTTGAGGGGGACAGCATTGTGGCATAACAGGTTGAGCCACCACCTGCAATGCTATCATCCCATATGGGCACCAGTTCAAGTTCCAGCTGCTCCACTTCTAACCCAGCTCCCTGCTAATAGCCTGGGAAAGCAGCAAAAGACAGTCCAAGTGTTTGGGCCCCTGCACCCACGTGGGAGACCCAGAAGAAGCTCCTGTCTTCAGCCTAGCCCAATCCTGGCTGTTGCTGCCATTTGGGGGAGTGAACCAGTGGAAGATCTCTATCTCTCCCACTCTCTCTGTAACTCTGTCTTTCAAATAAATCTTTTAAAAAAATCCTGCTTAAGAAATATTTAAGTACATACTTAAATCTGTAGGATTTTTCTTTTTATTTAAAATGAGTCTGTCTATTACCTAAGTACACAAGAGGGCCGTGGGGGTGAGGAAGCCATGGAAGAAGCCTGAGCAGATATTACTGTCAACTCGTTACCATATTCAGAGACCATTTCAGTAGTCACACAGAGGAAGGTCAGCCGTGTGAACAGACTGGAGATGAAAAGGCTTCTAGCAAGGTGACCGCCTGAGTCCTCTTACTGAAAGAACACATTTGCTTCATCTCCATGATGTACTCTCAAGGAAAGGTCAGGATCCCATGGAACTAAATGCTGACCTGACAAGCAAAACTGCACCAGTGTTTCAGAGCATTCCTATTCCCTCTGGAAGGTTCTCCAAATTTCCACATGCATCATTTCCCAGACAATCTTCTGATTATGTCAAAATTAAATTAGGACCAAATCCCATGTTTTACTCCAGTCAACAAACTCACAAAAGGAGATACTTTCTACCCAGTAACAAGAAACAATAAAGTTTACTACATATAGTTCAACAGAGCTGAACTCTGGTTCTTCATAAAGACACGAGTAACAGGGCTGCATCTGTCCAGGGAAGGTGACTTGTTCTAATCTGCAAAGCCTGGATGAGCCTGCCAAGTCATGTCCCTTGGAGAGGGTTGCATCTTCTAGGGGGGTACCTTTTTCTAATTGCATGAAGGTACCCCATGGGCCAGCTGTGAGCCAATTCTGCTTTCCTGGGATTAAGTCTCATATGTATCACTCACCATAATGCTTACAGGTCAATGAGAATAATGGATTTCCTTCTCCTTGAAAATTTTGGAGCACATGATCTAAGCATAAAGAGGCACAGATACCAAGACACTCAACAAATGCAAAAAACTAGATGCTTCCTACTTACCTCAGGGGCCATCCAGAATGGGGTACCAACAGACGTGTTTCTCCGCAGACGTGTGCTGGTGAGTTGAGCTGAGACGCCTACAAGAAAAGGGTATCAAAATTCAGCAGTGAACAGAGGTTCATGCTAGCAGGAGTTAGTGAGCTTTAGCCATAAAGGGTCTAAATAATTTAGGGTTCTTGGGTCATGCAGTCTCAGTCACAACTATTCAACTCTGTTGTCAAGATGCAAAAGCAGCATTAGAGAACACAGGAACCATTGAATGTGGCTGCTTTCCAGCTGACGAATGCTGAAATCTGAATTTCATACAATTTTCATCTGTCACAAACATTCTTGTAGGTCTTTTCCAATCACTTAAAAATATAAAAAACCATTCTTAGCTTAGGGGCTACACAAAAATAGGTGGTGAGTCATATTTGGCCCCTGAGCTGTAGTTTGTTAATAACCCCAGTATGCTGGCTGGAGTGTTTATCATTCTAATCAAATCATTAGACCTTTTTTCCTAATGAACAGTGTTATTCTTATCACTGCAAATAGGAATCAAAACAAAAATATCAACAACTACATCAACCCCAAATATCTTCCTATTACATTCCCAAATCATTTTAGGCAATTTCTCATTTTTTGTTTATCTTGGTTGTATTGCGATCTTATTATGATATAAACTGCAAAGTACGACTCATGAGTTACAATGGCTTCCCCCCCCATACCGTCCCTCCACAACAACCCTCCCCTTCCACTCCCTCTCCCTTCCATTCACATCAAGATTCATTTCGGATTATCTTAATATACAGAAGATCAGCTTAGTATACCTCAGTAAGTATTTCCAACAGTTGCTCCCACACAGAAACATAAAGTGAAAAATAATAGATGATTTTTTTAAAATGATGATGAAATCAGATCAGACCTATTGTCATGTTTAATCCAGTGAGAGTCAAGTTGGGAATTGAAAATTTCTTTCTTTCTTTTTATTTTTTTTTTTTACAGAAGATCAGTTTAGTGTACATTAAGTAAAGATTTCAGTCGTTTGCACCCCCATAGAAACACAAAGTGAAATATACTGTTTGAGTACTCGTTATAGCATTAAGCCTCAGTGTACAGCACGTTAAGGACCGAGATCCTACATGAGGAGTAAGTGCACAGTGACTCCTGTTGTTGACTTTACCAATTGACACTCCTGTTTATGGCATCAGTAATCTCCCTATGCACCAGTTATGAGTTTCCAAGGCTATGGAAGCCCCTTGAGTTCTCCGACTCTTATCTTGTTTAGACACGGTCATAGTCAAAGTGGAGGTTCTCTCCTCCCTTCAGACTCAGCAGACTCATAGAATGGCGGATGTCCTAAATAGCACTCTGGCCTCAGAATCAGCCCTAAAGGCACTCGGATCTGGCTGAAAAGCCCATGAGAGTATTTCAGGCATGGAAAGCCAAGACACTCTGGCAAAAAGATCTCTGTGAGTGAGATCCCAGTGGAAAGAACAGGTCTTCAAAGAGGGAGGCAATTTCTTTCTTAAATAGGTACTTCATTTTATGGAGGGAGAAGATCGATACATATGTAATAGAGCCCTGGTGTAGACATTAAAAAAATTTCCATGTTTTATCATGCCTGGAAGCCTGAAAACTATCAAGAAAGCAATGTTTGTCAAGTGGAAAAAGAAATTGACAATAATGTTATTATCTGTGCTCAATGAATTTTAATATAATTCCAATGTCCTTTATCTAGCTCTCTTCTTTATACCATGAAGGAACAAAATAGAAATAAAGGTATATGAGATTAAGAAGCAGAGGAACCTGTTTTCCATCCTAGTTATGCCTTTTACTAATTGTGTAACTACATTACCTTTTTAATTTTTTTTTAAATTTAGGGTAGGTATTTGTACAGCAGGTTAAGCTACTGTTTGAGCAACTACATCCCATATCAGGGTGCCTGTTCAAGTTCTGGCTACTCTACTTCTGATTCAGCTCCCTGCTGATGCTCCTGGGAAGCACTGGATGATGGCTCAAGTTCTTGAGTTCATGCCACACACATGGGAAACCTGGTTGGAGTTCCTAGCTCCTGGCTTTGGCCTGGCCTAGCGCCAGCTGTTGTAAGCATCTGGGAAGTGAACCAGCAGATGGACAATCTCTGTCACTCTACCTTTCCAATAAATAAGCAAATCTTTAAAAACTTTTAAAAGTTATTTATTTACATTTTACTTGAAAGTTCTAGCATTCTACAAATACATATAAAGTATTCTTTTATACCAAGCAGAAGTCTAACACAGTACTTAAGAGAATAGCAAGGTTTGCTACTAATGCTGTTGATGAAAAGACTTTAGAAACCTGAATACTGTGTGTTAGCCAACCACCCACCCATGTAGATTTGTTGAGGTTGTTTTTTGGTGGCTGGCTATTGGGTTAGCTGTTTGTATTCCCTTTACCGGAAAACCAAAGGGGGCTCTTTAAGCCCTGGTGGCCACATATAATTTGCTGTTTTACCAAGTCTCCCATCACAGTTGTGCTAAAACAAACAAAAAGCAACTATATCATTCTGTTCTGAATTTCCATAAGTTTCTTTTTCCATTGTTAGAAATTCAAAAATCTTCAACTGGAAAGATTAGGGGTGTCTATCCGCAAACCAAATCACAAAGCTAATGAGTGGATTAATCTCCATCTTGGTCCTTCTGTTTCTCTCACAACATATTTACTGCCCCCCAGGAGGGTGTAGAAAACATCTCTCTAATGTCAGATATGCAGCATCCTAGTGTTCTATCATTCCTTAGAGAGAGAAGCAAAAGGCTTAAGCAAAGTGCCCCTCTGCTATGTTTATTGGCTTGCTGTGAGCAAAACAATTGATGGCCCATTTTCAGTAGAGGAATTCAAAGTACAGTCAGAGCTTAACAAGGGAAGGGGAGGAACAAGGCACAAAATGGCTATCGGACCTACGTCCAAGAAATTCAAACAAAGCCTGCTGCCTCGGGAGCAAAAAGGGAGGGCAGGACAATCTCAGACACTTTCAGGAAGAATCTCAGCCAGTGAGGAAGCAGGGGAGGGACCTGCACACTAGGGGATGAATGCCTCCAGACAGGGCACCCGCCCTGGGAAAGTCGTGAATAAAGCCTCACTTTTTGCTGACTTCATGTGTCACAGTCCATCCTTTGGTGGGTAGGTGGTCTCTGGTGGGCTTATTTCTCAAATTTGCTCCTTAGCAAAAAGATCAAAATACCTAAAGCAACTTCATTTAAGTCATTTATTCTGAGCAAATGATTCACTGAAACTTTTTTACACTGAATTCTCTTACCAATAAAATAATAAATATCCCAAGTCAATCTGTTACTATGATAACACTAATAACATTTCAAAAGTATTTTTCTAAATGCTTTCTCATTTTTTATAACAATGACCTGACTCTGAAGTTCTACCACTGAACTTATTTACAAGATTAAACTCTTCATTTCACCTAAAAAGGAAAACCAAATGGTTTTTTTTTTTTTTTTTTTTTTTTGGCTTGTGAATATCAACATATGAGCCAGGAGATATTTAATAGTTCTCTGGGATTAGGCGATATTTCCCATCCACTTCCTGTTAATGTTTCCAGTTCAACCAGCCTCACAAGTCAGCAATAATCATAGTTTAAAGGGATGTTAGCTCCCAGGCCCAAAGGACTATTTTACCTTCTGCTCGCTGGGACTAAGTGAGCCTAAGGCTAGTGAAAGTCATTTGAAGCACTGAACAGCTTTCTCTTTACATATGCAAAAGAAGAAATGACAAAATGAAAATCATAGACAACTGCTCTGAGATGTGAAATTCTTACCAGAAAACCAAAAACTTTTCCTGTCAAGTTCTTCTTTTGAAACACTTCCACTTTCCATCTTCAATCAAATTGCTTCTAAGGCTGAAAACGGATTAACAGCCTCTCCTAGAGCGCTCCATCTGGTGAGCTCCCCCTCCCCCTGCAGGCTGCGTTTCCCTGAGAGTCCCCCAGACTTCTGGGATAGCAGTGCCTTGTCCCCTTCGGCTAAACAGCACACATCAAGAAAACAAACGGCAAGCAGTCATTACCAAAGTCAACGAGCTTAACTCCTCCTTCTGTTGTCAGAAGAATGTTATTCCCCTTCACGTCACGGTGGATGATCCGGTTGTTGTGCAGGTGCTGGAGGCCCTGCATGCCGTCCCACCGCCACCACGGAACACCGGGAAGAGAAAGGGGAAACTGACATGCTTGTTTTAAAGCAGTTACCCCACTATTAAAAGGTCTACTCAAAAACCCCACTTGGCAACAACTTCCTGTGGTTAATCCTTGCATATGATAATGTGGTTTCTCCATCATTAATATGCAATGAGGCTCCAAGCCATGGACAAATTGTCCCTTCTGCTGTCATCCCAGCCTGATACGTGTCTTACCAAGAGGGCCCCGTACAAGATGTAGGAGATCAATGCTTCGTCCAACCGCTGGCCGCACCTGAGCAGGCCTTTGACGAGCTCAGTGACGGAGCCCCCATTACACAGCTGTGAGACGACATGGCCAACAGAGAAAAAGAACACAGACAAAAAGAAGAGACTCAAATTAAAAAGAAAGACGCACTGATTACTGATTTATTGTAATAAAGTAAATCTGAAGATGACAAAACTCCAGCTTGGAATAATTAGTCTTTAAATTTCCATTACTCAGTCGAATCCAGTTCTTTATGTGTATTCTTTACCCAAGGTGATGATTTATGAGTGAAAGTGCACACCCAGAAAGCTGGCTTTTTAATTGCCAAGCAAAGTACAAAAGCACAACTTATTATTTAGGAATCTGAAAGAAAACGCTTGTAAGTAATCACAGTGACTTCCTAGGTATTTTTCACTTTTTGTGAATATCTGTTTTTCAAACATGCACTTTGAGGATAGGAAGGGCCCAGAAGAGGCAAGATCCCATTGATAATGGAAAGGGAAGAAACTTCAGGGACTTCAGATCTTCCCACCTCTAGTGCTGGTACCGCAGGCACCAGGAGCCCAACCAGTAGCTCTTTCCAGAGTTGCCACTGAGTGTAAATTGAGTGGAGTTGCATCACATAAGCATTTAACCTTCGCCTACTCAACTTTGGGCTTTCCACAACTGTATGTTCTCTCTCTCTCTCTTCTGTAATTAAGAACACTGAGATTTTATTTTGCATACTTTCTCCTTGTTATGTAGTGTATTGTATATTATTGAGGTTTGAGTAAATAAAGGAAGTTTATTGTATTTCCTGAGTTCTTCAACAGCTTTCAAGGATAACTTTTACAAATTGTAGAAGTGCATGTACAAATTCAGTTGCTACGAGCTACCTTAAATCAAGAATTCTTAACTACTTTGAGCAGGGCATGTAAATATCCTGAAATTGTAGGTAACACCGTGTCGATGCATCATGCACTTCCCTAGGGAGAAACTTCAGAGCTTTCATCAGATTCTAACAGCCGTAATGGATGTTGCAAAGGCAAAAACCCTGCATTAGAGCCCCCGGTTTCCTCCTGGCACTGTGACTACAATTTCATAACCAGTTAGCTGGTTGTAGCTGCTTAAGTCAACCGGCATCTCTTATCCAAGGAAACCTGAGGGAGCACAGATGAACAGCTTTCTTAAAAGAAGATAACTCTTCATCAAGATAATAACACATTAGGCTCTATTTGACTCTAATTACTAACATCTGCAACATTTTAACAAAGAGAACAGATGCCTTTATTTGATATTTGTGTCATATACTTTGGCATATACCTTGCATACACATTCAATATCAAGATGATAACCTGTACATAAATCTGTCCAAGTTTTTATCATTTAAATTGTTCAATTTATTTGAAAGCAGAGTTACAGAGAGACAGAGGCAGAGACAGAGAGAGAGAGAGAGAGATCCTCCATCCACCGGTTCACTCCCCAAATGGCAGCAATGGCCAGAGCTGAGCTGATCTGAAGCCAGGAGCCAGGAGCCAAGAGCTTTCTCCGGGTCTCCCCTGTGGGTGCAGGGACCCAAGGATTTGGGTCATCTTCCGTTGCTTTCCCAGGTGCATTAGCAGGGAGCTAGATCAGAACTGGAGCAGCAGGGACTTGAACTGCTGCCCCTATAGGATCCAGCTCTCTGCTATGGCCTGGGAAAGCAGTAGAAGATGACCCAAGTCCTTGGGTCCCTGCATCCACATGGGAGACCTAAAGGAAGCTCCTGGCTCCTGTCTTTGGATCAGTGCAGCTCCAGCTGTTGCAACCATCTAGGGAATGAACCAGTGGATGGAAGACTTCTCTCTCTGCTTCTACCTTTGCCTCTCTGTAACACTTCGTTTCAAATAAATAAATAAATAAATCTTAAAAAAAAAAAAACTATAGCTGGGGTGGGCACTGTGACTCACTTGGCTAATCCTCCACCTGTGGCACTGGCATCCCATATGGGCACCAGGTTCTAGTCCTGGGTTCTAATCCTGCTTAATCCTCTTCCAGCCCAGCTCTCTGCTGTGGCCCGGGAGGGCAGTGGAGGATGACCCAAGTGCTTGGGCCCTGCACCCTCATGGGAGACCAGGAAGAAGCACCTGGCTCCTGGCTTTGGATCAGCGCAGCACACTGGCCATAGTAGCCATTTGGGGAGTGAGCCAATGGAAGGAAGACCTTTCTCTCTGTCTCTCTCTCTCACTGTCTATAACTCTACCTGTCAAATAATTAAAAAAAAATAAACTATAGCAAAATTACTGTCTCTCAGGAATTATAAGAGGATCTCTAAAAGCAATGAAATACATTGAAGGCAAGATGGCCCTATGAGTTCAGGAATATATTAGAAAGTTTGGAATCTACTATCTACCCATTTCAGATTTAACTCAATACCCATGGCTCTGATGGCCCATTGTTGAGTGCCAGATAAATGTCTTTCAAAGGACTCTGTATACTTTTTGATTCTATGTCTTTCATGACCCTGAAAGGATACTCTTGAGCAGTGAATGCATTTTTGGTGCCATAACTAATAGTCATAAAATCTGGACTTTTGAAAGATAAAATGTATCCAAAAAAAGACAAAATGTGTGTGTGTATGTATGTGTGTGTGTGTGTGTCTCCAGAAACAAGGAATTGATATAAAGTTTACTGATGACCAAGGAAGAATCTAGGACTTGACAAAAGCAAAGTTCTTACCCATACGAACAAGGGGAATCTTTGGGGGCTGGAGTCATGGAGCTTTCAGAGATTGAAAAGACAAAGTCAGAGAGAGGCAGCTCCCTCTGGGAGGGAGATGGGACCTGTGCCCCACTGCCCTGGCTTTATATGAGCAACTGGTTGTACCCAGGTCCAGACATAATCCAGATAGAATGGAAGGAAAAGAGGGAAAGAAAAGGCCCTAAAACACAGCACTGACCTAAACAACTGAGCTTTGAACTGGACGGTGAAAATGAGATATAAACACTGAACTATGCTCCTTACCAAAGAAGTCACTCAACTGGATGTAAGTTTAACAGATGAGTTAGAATCAGTTGTCTTCTATAGGCAGGTGGGGATGCAAAATAAAATTGAGTCATTAAGGTCTTTGTTCACACTAGTCTGCAGCTTTCCAGTTTGTTACCCACTACTCAATGATGAATATGATGCAGTCCCTAGCCTCAAAGAGCCCAGGCCCAGTAAAATACACCTGAGTGATTAGTGTATGGAGTGTGGAAGCAGGGCTGTACCTAATGGAGTGTGGTGGCCCTGAGCAGGGAAGGGTGAATTCTGCTAAGGGAAAGTAAAAGGGGAAAATCTGGGAGATCTTCCCAGATGCCAGAACATTTACAAGGGATCTGAAGGACAAATGGACCTTGGGGGAGGCAGATAAGGGAAACAGGACATTGTGTACATAGAAAGGGAACACAGAGAAATAAGACGTGCACATGCATGTAAATCTTACATATTCCGCTACTGTTGGGACAAAGCATGCCGAGATCCTAGGGCATGGAGATAGAAAAGGAAGGTGTAAGATAGGTGCCCTGCTAAGGAAGACGGGGTCTATTATCCTACATTATGCCTATTATAGTACCACATGCCATTAGATAAGGAGAATCAGCTATGGAGAGCTTTTAAGGCAGGAGGCCACAGTGTTCAGATTTGCACTCTAGAAAGATGACTTGGGCAGTAGATAGGAAGATGACAGGAGAGGATACCACCAGAGTTGGGCATTCATTAGAGATTGAAGCAATCAAGGGAGTCTGGGCCAAAGTCAAGTCATGATGAAAAGGAAGGGGCAGATTTGGGGGCTGTCTATGAGACAGAACTGACGGGAATTTCTCACTGAATCTGGAAGGTGAAGAAGGGACAGTGACTAGGGAAATATCAACAATAGCTGTTGGTCCTCTAAGGTCAAAGCAGTAATGGGAATGCCAGGCATGACAGCACCTTCACTGGGACCACCCCCCAGCCTAGCTCTCCTCCCAGGGAGGCCCAAGCTTTCTTGGATTGCAAGTATGCCATTAAAATTCTATCCAGAGGGGTTGGTGTTGTGGTATAATGGGTGAAGTCACTGTCTATAACATCAGCATTCCTTATGGACATCGGTTCATGTCCCAGCTACTCCACTTCCAAGACAGCTCCCTGCTCATAGCCTGGCAAAAGCTGCAGACAATGGCCCCAGTGTCTGGGCTACCTATATAGGAAACCTGGATGAAAATCCTCGATTCTGGCTTGGGTTTGGCCTGGCCCCGGCCATTGCAGCCATTTGGGGAGTGAACAAGTAGATGAAATCTCTCTCTCTTTTTTGTCTTTTACTCTAACTTTCAAATAAATAAATAAATAAATCTTTTTTTTTAATCTACCCACATAACATTTAAATTAGCTACTGTGTGACAATCCACATAAGCACAACCTTAGAATTTCCCCCTGAAACTTCATTTTAGTTTCTCTCCTTCCCTAATTCAAGTACAGGCATTTTTGCGAGAAGGACCTCTACGGCAATATTTTATATAGGTAGCCAGCTTATAAACTTTCTTTGTAACTCTATAACCTAGGAAGGGATTAAGAACAGTTATTTGTCCTCAGTACTAAACCTCAGCTGTGGATTTAAAAACAGCAAAGGGAACCTACCCAGCTGGTGCCTTTTGTTCACTAAATGTCAGAGTTTCAGAACTGTCTAACTTCCTAGGATTCACAGGAATATATAATTAAACTACTCAGGGTACCTATAATGGAAGCTTGTCCCATGAAGTTAATAAACCTACCAGCCAGGTTTCAAAGGGCAGCCTGTGGGTTATTGAAAAGACATTGGTACTTGGATATATAAAAGAGAGCAGGTACACACCAATAATTTTCGAACCAGAATAAATGTTCAGTGAAATGGGCTGAACATTTAAAAAGCATGACAACAATATTTAAGTGCATCAAATAACTCCCCTTAGAACTGTAAGAAGACAACCAAGCCTCATGCCTCAGCCCTGAGGGTTGGCCCATCAGCCTCCTCTTTGTTCCTACCACTCTGCCAGCCACCAGATTCAAATACAGAGGTGTGTCTCCATCCCCACAGTCCCTCCCTATGCCCTCAGCATTCAAG